GACCCCACCTCACCACAACCTCCTTTCAGGTAGATGTAGGATGTTCCACGTTGCAAATGGAGTTTGAAAGCGAGCCCGATCTTGGGGCGTCAGGGCCCAGTGCCTTCCTTGAGGGGTGTTTTTGTCACTGAGGCACCATGTGCTGATGGCATCCCCAGTGTACCAGGCTGGCATGGTGGGTACCCACGTCCCCTGGGCCCCAGGGTGGGGATGGTGTCAGCTCTCATTCTGAGGGTGAACAGGCAAGTTCTAAATAGAAGGACCTATTCTGCTGCAAAATGACCACAAAAAATCCTCAGGAGCCATTCCCAATGGAATACCAGCCCGGAGCTCCCTCTGCAGCTGGTGCTTCCTCCACCCCAGTCCCTTCTTGAATGTCAGGCATTTGACCTGTCAATGTGCTCACATTAACCCTATCCCTGACCTTGTGCGCTGCTTCTATTCCCATCCCAGCTGCTGGATTTAAACTGGGAACCTTTGGTGCAGATAAGTGCTGTTTATATTTAATCTGTGGCACTGTGTGGACAGGAATTAGGGCTGCTGATAAGGAATGCAAACCTATTGGCACTCTTCTTGGTGGTTTCAGTGAGGAATGCTGGCATGGTGACAGCTCGGCTGCTGCTCCCTGCACAAGAAACATGCAATAGCCAGTGAACATGTTGAGGAAACAGGCAGTATTTCAGTGATTCCTAAATGTGTCCATCCCTCTGAGCAGAAGTTTGCCATCTTGGCGAAAAGAAACATTAGTTTATTTATGGGCAAAACAAGAGCTGTTCTATTGGTGTTGTGGTCCTACAATGTTCTAAATGGGCAGCCCAAACACTGCTGGTGGCATGGTGACTACATGAGCAGAACTTGGGTGGCTTGGGATCTGGTCAGCACATTTGGAACAGTGGATTACCAGCCAAGAAGTACCTGTGTGGTTAAAAATACTCAAGAGAATGGATATACACTTCTGGAGGTGTCCTGAGAACTGCCGAGGGTCCTTCCATTTATTTCAGTGGCTGCTGTAAGGAATGTGAGAGTGAATTTTACAGGTAAATGGCTGTAGGACCAGGGTCCTGATGAGGAATCGTCATGAGCATCACCAAATCATCAGAACTCAAGATGTCATGTGGGGCTCACCCAGGTCCTGGTAGCAGCTCTGATGCTGGTCCCTAGGCTGTAACCTACATGTTATTAGGAATGTTGTCATGTTGGGCTGGGGCAGCTGGAGAAGAGAAGGTTCCTGAAGGGGACACCTTAGAGCAGCTCCAGTGCCTAAAGGGGCTACAGGAAACCTGGAGAGGGGCTTTGGACAAGGGCCTGTAGGGACAGGACAAGGGGAATGGCTTGAACCTGCCAGAGGGGAGATTGAGATGAGCTCTTGGGCAGAAGTTCTTCCCTGTGAGGGTGCTGAGGTGCTGGCACAGGGTGCCCAGAGAAGCTGTGGCTGCCCCATCCCTGGCAGTGTTCAAGTGCAGGTTGGACACAGGGGCTTAGAGCAACCTGCTCTAGTGGAAGGTGTCCCTGCCCGGGGCAGGGGGTTGGAACTGGGTGAGCTTTAAGGGTCCCTTCAACCCAAACCACTCTTTGGTCTGGGTTAGCCTGTGCTCTGTGATGATCAGATCATGCACCAGCAGATCTGGAGAAGGAGCAGAGGGATATAATAGCCAGGGCTGGCTGCAGCTGTGCTGGTAAGTGGAGACAGAAGGGGGTTTGGTGATGGTGCAGCTGCTCCCTTGGAATCCGACAGGGATTGCTGAAGAGGAGCCAGCAGTTCAGTTGCCTTCATATTCCCCTGATAACCAGGACACCCCAAAATATGGGCATCTTCGTCCTTCCCTGTCTCATTTAGTGGTAAACTTGAATAGTGCAAACCAAACCCAGCCCCCACATCCTATGTAATGTAATTACATAAATGAACACAGTTGGTCACTTCCACAGATTAGCTCCTGGTGGAGGATTTCTCCCCTCCTTTATGACTTGGATCTCTTGATTTAGTTGAACGTGCCCTTACGCTGCATCAGGAGCAAATAACCTCAGTTATTTCTTTGCTGCAGAAGAAACAACTGCACCATTTAGTCACTCTTATAGATCTTCCCTGGTGCCCTCCTCCCTTCCCCTTCTGCCTCTGCTGTGTCCCTTTTGACAAGCAATGGCCACAAGCACATGCTGTGGTCCAGATTGGGGATTACTGCTGTGCCTAATAGGATTAGAAGATTGTCAGCACTAATCCTTATCCCGTTCTTTAGGCAGACTAACCTTTTACTTAGATTTTTGCCTCCTGTTGCACAATTAGTTGACTCCTCAGTGATTTCTTTACATCTGCTGTTTTGTCCTTTTTCCAGGGCATTATAATTGGTGCAGACCTCCATGGGGTTGGAACTAGATGTTCTTAAGGTCCTTTCCAACCCAAATTATTCTGTGATTCTACGTTGGGGCAGAGCCCACACAAAGGAGGCTGGGAAGGAGACTTAGACAAGGAATGGTTTTGTGGCTTGGGCAGAGAATCAGCCTTGGGTTTGTGTATTGCGTGCAGAAGGAACGATTTGGCAACAGTCTAAGCATGGGGATGAAGGAAGGCAGGAATCAGTGATAACTAATTACACAGGAAGCTTGGATGAGGGGGAAGGGAGATGTATTGTCTTCAGTAGGGGAGAGGAACTGTAGGAAGAGATACAGGATTGAGATGGATGTTTGAATTAATTGTATGCAAGACAGTAACTTCAGGAGGCATTTTGGAATAGGCCTGTGTGCAGGTATTCGTCTCCAATCCCGCGAAAATGCTTTGCAGAAGAGCCTGAACATCTTTTGTCTTACATTTGTAGGGAGTACCCCGAGGTTAAGTGACTTCAGGCCACATTATAAGCCCCAGCAGTGACAAGATTAGAATCCAACATTCCTTAATCTGTTTCCAGTGTGGTAAACCACAGCAGTAATGAATGTCCATATATGCACAAAACACACTGCAGGGCAGATGAGTGAAACTCTCCATCTCCAATTTAGGGAGAGCACATCACCTTATTAACTGTCCCTTGCTCTGCAGACGCAAAACCATTGCACGGTTTCTTTCCCTCACAGGATTTTGTTCCAAGCCTTTATTGTCTGCAACTAGTTCTTTTCCAATGGTCCTGTAAACTGCTCCATCAGGATCCAGTTGCTTTCTGTTACCAGAACAAACTGAGGAAATGAATATCAATCATTCAGTGACTCTTTGCAGGAAATAAAAGCGTGAGATAGCAGCCAAACCAAGGAGGAAGGACAGAAATGTGGTACTTTCTATAAGGAGAGCCAAAAATGTTATTCATGTGCTCAGCTGTTTAATTTCTGAATATTGCAGAGCTTTCTTCTTTTGGGAGCTCTACCTCCTTTGGATTAGGTCCTGCTCCCCATGATCTCAGAGGGAATATTTGTTAGTAGCTTCAGTGAGAACAAGATCAAACTATTGTCCGTGTTTTCTCCCTTGCCTTAACCAGTGTTGCTGTTCAGATACTGCAAGGGATGAAAATGCTCTTGGCTTCCCAGAATCTGAGCATTTGGATCTAATCCTTGCATATGGCACAGTGAGATAGGTTCAGAGCTGCCTGTTCCCAGCAAAGCTTTTTGAAGCCAATGTGAAGCCTCTGTAAAACACTGACTCTCCTCACTCAGTAGGTGTGTTTCTGCAGTCTGCATTGTGCTTCAGGTTCTCTAAGCCATGCTACAGTAAGCATGATGGATAGCAGGTCGCTGCTTCGGAAATCAGGATGTGTGCTGGCTCACCCCAGTCTTCCACAAATCCCTTCTCTAGCTGCAGGAAGCACGAGGTGCACCATAGCCCAGAGTGTTAATATTTAATGTCTTCTGCACATAATGGACTCAGCTGTAATTATGAGTCCCACAGCACACAATTGCCACTGGCAGGATGCAAAAGATGGCTGTGGGTCCGTGAGGCTCCACAATTAGGGATTGAAACATTGATCATTTCCATTCCCAAGAGCAGCAAAACCAGCTGGATGAATTTAAAGCGAAAGCTTCCTTGGAAAGGTTGGAAGCCAATAGACATTCCTCTGCAATCTATTAAATTCAGACTCTGCAGCATCATCCTGCTGCACTGAATAAAAGTGACTGAAACCCGGGCAGGGCAGAGTGGTTTTGACAAGCCTATGCTTATGTCCAGAATAATCCAAGTGAATAAGCATTTAGGCAGTGATGCAGAGAGGAGTTAGTGTAAAAAACTCTCAGTGTTCTCTTCTCAGGAGTGCTATTTTTAACTTACAGATCCCTATTCCTTTCTTACATGAAATCTTGAAGCTGGCAGCATCCCTTTCAGACTTGGAAATGAAAGGAGACAGTCTGAAAGACCAGGAAAGCTGGCATTTTTAGGCCTCTTGGCATATCTTGGTGGGCAAATTCTTCCTCCTTGGATGAGCCCAAATCGACTTTGTGTTGGGCTTTTCCCTGCAGTGGATTTAATCACAGGATCATTAGGGATGGAAGGGACCTTTGGAGATCATTTAGTCCAACTCCCCTGTTGAGAGATAAGGCCCCAGCATTCACACCCCTTGTGCCGGTAGAACTTGGATCCTGCTTTATTGTGTTTGCCAGTTCTTCAGGGTGTTGAACAGAGGTGGAAGGGAATGTAGAGAGATGATTCTCATTTTGTGACTACTGTAGTCCTGGATTCACAGGAGATTGTTTGGAAATCAGATTTCCAATTTCCTTTTCAAAGTGTGGTGGCCTTTCTTGGTTGGGTTTGGTTGGTTGGTTTTGCTAAGGTACAGCTATGGAAACCATTGCAAAAGGAGAGTCAGCCTGAATCCCTGCTTTTCATCCTTGTCACTGGCAATAGTTTCTCTGAATTTAGTGGTGCAAAATCATCCCTGTACTGTACTTAGTGCACTCAAGCTTGAATCAAATCCTAACACTTCTTACAAGTGCAACAAACACATTTAACAGACAGGAAAAAGAAATGAAATGTTTCCCTGTGACAGGAAATCAATCTAATCCATTTGTTGTTTGGTTTTTTCCAGGCTTATATTTGGCACTCTTTACCCTGCATATTATTCTTACAAAGCCGTGAAATCAAAGGACATCAAAGAATATGTGAGTAATGAGGTTTGGGGCTGTGCTGTAGGGTTTGGTTTGTTCCTCACCACATTGTGAAGGTGTTGCCTGTGTTGTGGGAAAGCTGGGAACCAGTGCAAGGGGAAGACTGGCCTGAAGATGGACTGGCTGAGTGCTGGGCACAAGTTTCAGGGGTTTGTGCTCCTGGCTCCGCTGCTGATGTGCTCTTTGACAAATGTATGCTGTTTCTCTGGTGCTGTGAGCTAAATATGGTCAACCAAAAAGTTGTTTGGCACCCAGAGCTTTGCCTGTTTTCCTTTGTTTCTGAAGAGCAGCATAAATCAAAGCCTTTTCAAAAAGCCTTGAAGCTTTAGCTGCTCATTCAAAGCAAGGATGAGAGGAGGAAACTTGAAGCACCTATGACTGAATCCTCGGATGGAAACAGCCATCCATGCGGGGTGACCTATTTACAGGCAGATCTGGGCGCTGGTTGTGCTGCCTCATCCTTTGACTGAAAGATCTTCCCTGGGCCCAGTTTCTAAAGGCATATGGGGCCACCAGGGCAAGTGCAATGTGGGAGAATCAAACCCACTTGGATGCTGTAGGATTTGTGGTGCCCTTCACAATGTGACTTCTGTTACACTGAACCTGGCTCAGCCTCTAGATCTTGACTTTTCAGTCATCTCAAGATCCCAAGGATAGCAAGCCCATTTTCTCCTTTGGCTAACAGCATACATGGGGGGTGTCCCATTAAATCCTTGTGCCAGCTCAAACAGGGACTCAGTGTGCCTGCGGAGATTTTTCCTCTCTATCAGTACCCTCCTTCAGTTAATGGTTTGGATATTCTGAGAATCATTAAGTGTTGCAGAACACGTCAGATACTTAAGGCAAAATGTCCCTGCAGGCGTTTGCTGCTCTAGGTTTGTACATCCTTTGCTTGGAAACACTGGAGACGTGCTGGCATCCCCAAGCAGTGTCTGCCACTGATACTTAATGTTTCCATAGCCCCTTTCTGGAAAGTATTTTGTTGAAGGGTCCAATTCCTGTTGGAAATTCAATTGCAAATGAGGAACTCGCATCAGATACATGGGGTCATGACCCAAGTGTGAGACCTGCTCTGCTCGTACAGCTGTTTCTCAGTTGTGGCAGCACATCTGGTAGGGTCTGATTAAATAACCCAAAGCAGTAGTAGTTTACACTGACCCTGTACAAACCTTCATCTGTTACTCAAGATTATATCACTGTAGTTTATTTTTATTCTGCTTGGTAATAGCCATTTTGATAAATGGCGTTTGAGGCTGATCCAAGCCCTTCTGCACCAGGTCTTGGTTTGTGTTGAAAAGTTTGGCTGGCAGGAATGTCCAACTGAGGCTTTGAGGTTAGGTAAAAAACACTGGCAGAAGCTGCCCTGGGAAGACAATGTTCTCAGGCAGTGCCATTCTACTGCTGTCACACCAAATATCCATATAAATAAATCCCAGGAGAGCAGTTCTGTAGCTCTGTATAGTGACAAATCCTTGGTGAATAACTGCAGTACCTGCAGGTTGGAAAGGACCTTAAGATCATCCAGTTCCAACCCCCTGCCATGGGCAGGGACACCTCACACTAGACCATGTCACCCAAGGCTCTGTCCAACCTGGCCTTGAACACTGCCAGGGATGGGGCATTTACCACTTCTCTGGGCAGCCTGTTCCAGTGCCTCAGCACCCTCACTGTAAAGAGCTTCTTCTTTGTATCCATCCTGAACTTCCCCTGTTTCAGTTTGAACTCATCACCCCTTGTCCTGTCACTACAGTGCCTGATGAAGGGTCCATCTCCAGCATCCTTGTAGCCCCCTTCAGACACTGGAAGCTGCTCTGAGGTCTCCACAGAGCTTCTCTTCTCCAGCTGGACAGCCCCAACTTTCCCAGCCTGTCTTCTGTCGCCACTGCACTGGGGAGAAGATGGAGGAAGCCATTTCAGAGCTGCTGGGATACAGATTTACTGCCACCTTCTTTCCCCAGAGCAGCACATGGTGTAGGCATCCCTCTTGTGCTGCTGCCTTTCCCTTATTCTATTGCAATTATCCCAGCCTTAGGTAACACTTAGGTCCAATTCTCTAATTCATGGATTTTCATGGGGTTTATTTCCTTAAGCTTTATAACATTCCAGCAAAGCTGTTTAAGGATCTTCATTTTCAAACACAGCTGATTAGACATTAACTTCCCATCTCTTTTTTTTTGGAGAGACAGCTTCTTAAAGCAGTTTGAACTCTTAAGTTTTACAATCTTACAATGGAGGAAAAAACATTGAGGGGAATAAAAGTTTTCTCTCTCTTCTCCAGTACTTGGGTATTATTCCTTACATCATCTCTGTGGTGACGGTGCCACAGAAGAGAAGCACCACCACATCACTCGATAAACATCACTGGAAGTGCTGATGGCATATCAGAAATACATTGTTTCTTTCCAGTCCATATATCAGAATAGTTTAGCTGTGCTTTTAAATGTCTTTTAGTGGCAGAAATCCCCAGATCTCTGACTTACTCGAGGTACTACAGTTGCCCTGACTAAGCCGCAGCCCCCAAAGACTCTTTCTGTGTCTGCTGCTGCCCCCACAAAGGAGTCCATCCACAAACCACCCCTCAAGCAGTCCACCCCACAGTGGAGTTACCGTAGTTGAATGCTGACAGCACAACACATGCTTCTACTACCAGTGTGAGGTAAAATGCTCTCACCTAAGCCCCAGGTAAGGGATTTAAGCTGATGGACTCGCCCTTGTCACTGCAGTGTACTCAGGGTGTGGATGTGAGGAGGCACCACCAAGTGATGCACACTAATTCAATAAACTGTGGTGAGTTGATTGTGCTCCTGAGCCCTGGATCATGGGATGGGCAGTTACCTTTTTATATCTCCATGGCTGGTTTCCTCTGCCTGTAGATATTATGCAAGTAAATACAGTTTGTCTTAATTGCAGTTGGGCGAACACCCTAATATTCACCTTCGTCAAGATGAGCCAAGTGAGGTTGTTAATGCTCCGTGACAGGGCTGTGGTCCTCTATAAGGACAGAGTCAGGCTGCTCCTCTTTTCATGAGACCAGTCCTAAAGGCCACAATCTTCCTTCCCAAGGGTTTGTGTTGAAATCTGGTGGGTTATGTGCTGAGGTGCGGGGAGCTTGAGCATCTTCAAATCCATAGCAATTGTTAAATACACAAGGGGGAGGTGGGAAGAACCAGAACATTATTTTTCTGTGGGAGTTATTCTGTGCACTCGTGCCTGTAAGAGATAGTTCAAGGCCCTTGTGGGAAAAATGAGCTGACACTGGTTTTGTTTATCAGGTCAAATGGATGATGTACTGGATCATATTCGCGCTCTTCACGACAGCAGAGACGTTCACGGACATCTTTCTATGCTGGTGAGCACCACATGGGAGAGGGTCTTTGGAATGAAGTGGAAAGAGAATGGAAATGTTTACAAGGGGGGTAGAAGGGACACGAAGATGCACTGCCTCCTGAACACGGGGTTAGCAGCTTCAGGTGCATAGAGGTGTTTTGTCTGGAGGGGCTGTGCTGTCATAGGAAAAAGCAAGAAAGAGGATGGAACTGCTCAGTTCCTTAACTTTGGATGCTCAAGTTTGGGAATGTTTGTTGCTTGGCTGCTGTTTTTAGTAAGGCCTTTCTAGTGTTAACCAGTGAGACAACCAGACTTCAGGATGAAAATCTAACTGTAGTGCATGGCCCTCACCTAAAGCCTGTTCCTGCATAGCAATGCATGCCTCTAGTGAGCCCTTCAGACAAAGGGAATCGGGGATACTTGGCAACATATCAGATCTATTTAAAAGGATATAAAAGACATTATTGTGTCTCTGTCTACTTTTCATGCAAATCTACTTCCACTGTGTTCATCTGGAGCTTTGTTTTTTGGAGCATGTATTATGTGGGTCTCTCGGGAGGAACGACAGAGGGCTCGTCCAGCCTGTGAAATCAAGTATGCTGTAATGATCCTCAGTGAGGTGCCAGACCAACCTGGCACATCCGTGCTCAGAGTAGAGCATCACTAAGGTCCATTGGGTCAGACCTGGGTGCTGTATGGCTCAGCTGGCTCAGTGATGGTGCTGTGCACAGTCTGGGTCCAGCTGCACGCTCATCACAGGGTCTCTGTGTTGCTCTTGCTTGCCTGCAAAGGGTAGCATTGATTCATCACGTGAGGATGCTGCTATCTGGCCAGCTTTGAGCTCTAGGCTTGGTCCTCCAAAAGAGAGTCTTCATAATCTAATCCCAAGAAGTCCTTGGCTTGATGTTACAGCTAAAGCATGTCCTGTTACCAGTTAGTGTCCTTCATATTTTGCAGTGCTACCTGAAAGCCACAGTGTGGATCTGCACCTTTATGTTGCATGTTGCTTGGACAACAAAGGTTCTTGTGTTTCAGTTTCAGGCAGATAAGTGTTATCTTAAAAGCAGAAAGGCAGAGAGATGAAAGGTACGTAAATACATCAATGAAACATTGGTTTGCTCTTTGCTCCCTCATAATGACTGGGGATGCTATGAAAGCAGCATCTGTGCTCTTTGCATAGAGAAAGCTCCTCTTATCACACAGCAGTCTCTTTCAGACCATTGAATAATAGCCCTTATACCCAAGTAGAGCTTTACCCACATGCTAGTTGAGATGTGTGCAAAGGTGAGTGAATGTGTGTTGGTTTTTGGACTTTTTAGTAAGCAAAAGCTTCCCTAACCAGACTGGCCAGTCCCTTCCTGTGCTGGCCATCTCCAAGGGCAGTGGTTAAATCGGGAGTGGACACTAATAGCTCTTTTTCTCCTAGGTTTCCATTCTACTATGAACTCAAAATAGCTTTTGTAGCTTGGCTGCTGTCTCCATACACAAAAGGCTCCAGCCTCCTGTACAGGAAATTTGTTCATCCAACACTGTCTTCAAAAGAAAAGGTAATCACAGGTGCCTGGATGGAGCAGACCTACACTGTGTTTACTCCAGTCTTCCTATCACTCATTTTCATCGAAGGACTGGGAGTTGCTGATTCTCTTCCTCTATCATTTGATCATCTCCCTTTGGTTGGTGGTTTTGTTCTTTGTTGAGTTTTTCACTACTGGCATCTGTGCAACACACTCACACGTATTAACTCATCTTTGTGCACTTGAGATGTTGGGAGGGAGGGGGGATAAAAATACCTCCTGAGCTGCTTTGCACGTACTGGCTGAATATAGCTGAGTGCTCTGTTGTGGCTGGGTGTAGCAAACAGAGGAACAGGCTCTGGCAGCCAGGGCTCCTTGACTTTGTTCCCAGCTCTGCCTAAAATGTTGTGCAGCAATAAAACAAATAGCCCAGCCTGTCTAAATGGGCTTAGCAAGCACTGTTGAAGTAAGGCATGCAGCAAGTTCAGGTCCTGGGCTGAGAAATGTCTTGCTCAGATTGACGTTGGGGGGAGGTAATACATCTTGGATCATTCGCCTGCCTAAGAGATGCCTGTGGCTGTGAATGGGACATTGTCAGGCAGATCCATTTGGCTCTTGGGAATACATGGGCCAAGAAGAGCTGTCAGTCACGTACCAACATGCAGACTACTAAGTGAATAACTGTTTCCTGCAGTGGCAAGTATGGAAATGAAAGATCTGTTTAGCCACAGGCAGTGCATGAACAGTTGTATCTCGGTCCTGTCCAAGGAGGACGGTGGGGATCAATCCCCCATCCCTCTGCATCCTGGGAACTTCTGCTTTTCACAAGTAGTGCTTGTGCATTTTGGGTTGACACCTTTGATCCACTAGGAACAGGGAGGGAATCACTCAACAGCCAGCAACTTCTCATGGCTTCCAGCCCCCACTAACCCAGCACATCCAGCACCTGAGTACTAGAAGTCATTGTCATCCATTATCATCCAGACCCCTGTGTCTTGAGGGAGGGAGAATAAGGGCAGGAACTTTCATAACCATTTCACTGTGTATTGAGCAGCATCAAAGTCCAGAAGCTTTGGACCTACCAAGTCCATGGGCATGTTGAAGCTGGCCACTGCAGTGATGTGAGAGTTATCTCAGATACTTCTGAGACCACCAGTCCTGGCTGCAGGGCAGTTGAGCTTCAGCTGCCCAGGGTCATAATACAGTTCTTCTTAACTATGGGGCAATGCAAGTTGTCTTTAGAGCCCATAGATTGCAAATGGCTTCTGGTCCATCCTGCCCACGTCGATGTATCTGTCTTGTTTCCAGCACCTACTGGATATGGTTGCACTGGGTTTTGGGTCCCCATCTTCCATTTGCAGAATAACGAGTTTCCAAAGCCTGCAATGGGAGTTACTGCTCCCCTGCAAACCTTTCCTCTTTGCAGATATTGGCTGTGAACTTGTCTGCAGCCAAGGTGAAGGAAATGGATGGTATCTACCTCCATAAAAGATGCCATGGCCCTGCCAGGAGTTCGAGGCTTGGAACACTTTGAACTTGTCCTTCTTTTGCTTTACTGTTTGTTTGGTTTGTTGTTTGCTGTGACAGGAGATCGATGACTGCCTTGTCCAGGCCAAAGACCGGAGCTACGATGCCCTTGTCCACTTTGGGAAGCGGGGGCTGAACGTTGCAGCCACTGCAGCCGTGATGGCAGCTTCGAAGGTAAAGGTGCGGGTCAGGATGGTCCCACATCAGCATCTCATCTGCATCCATCACCACCAGCAGCCACAGTGGGGAGGGGGAGAGACGGGGAGGGGAGAGATTCTCTCACTGGTTTTGATTGTGCCTCCCAATCTCCCATTCACCAGCTACACACCAGCCTCTTGGGATGAAGACAGTAAGTGTGGTGCTGGTCAAGCTGCAGGAGTTGGAAATGCAGGATTAAGATCAGGGTCTGCCTCAGGCCTCTGCTGAATTTTGTATGTTCTATTGCATTAGCAAGTCTGTTCATCACATCCTGTGCTCTTCGTTTTCACTGGCAAAATAGGAGCATGCTTCCATAGAAGATGGAAGCTGTGTTCACCGTTAGGTGAACAGGGAAGTATACTTCTTTTGGTGAGCACCTTCTGTGGTGAAGGGAAAGCCCTTCTGCACCCCAGTTCTTCAGTTATGATGATGAATTGTTGAGAAGTCTGGATAATTTGGGTGCTGACAGAGAGCAGACGTGGTCTGTGAAGGCTGAAAGTTCATCTGCAAGGCTTCCACGTAACGTACCTGGTGTATAATTCTCTGGAGACGTGTTTATGTAAGAGTGAATGGGAAGTGGCGTTAGTTGCTTTCAGAGAAGGTTATTGGATGAGTGGTCTCATTTGAGGAGGTGTATCCTGTACTTAGCTCCTGGCTTAGGGCCAGTACCAGAAAATAGCTGTTATCTCTGTTTCCTTGCTTGCCTAAAAGCTGCAAGGACTTGATAACTGCATTTTGTGGTCCCGCTGTCTGGCCGTGGATTATCGTGGCTTAGGGTAAATGTGCACAGTGACTGTGCCCTTGTGTTTTGGGGGCAAGACTTGTATGAAGATACAGCTTTTGTGCAGTCAGATACAACACCTCTTGCAAAAGGATAGTAGGAACTTGTGGGCAAGGTGGGCACTGGTGTTAGGAAAAATGTGTGAAAGGGAGTTGAAGGAAGTTATTTTCCTCTCTCAAATGCTTTTCATATGACCCCAAGCACATATTGGCCTTACCTTCTGTAAAAAACATATGATGATACATCCTTAGGAGGCCAAATAGCATGAAGTCTATAAAGCATGTTGAATGCAAGGTACTACAGAAGAGAGGAGCCCCTGGGGTGTGCCAGGCACATGCAGGACCACAAGGATATGCAAAAGCTGTATCTTTTTCCAAAGAAAAACCCCAAATTGCCTCCTTTTTCCCTGCCAAGCATTGTGCAGACTGTGGCTGTTAGGCCTGGCTCAGTTCTTCTCCTGACCTGTGGCTCCTCAATGGTTAAGGCTCTGCTAACCCAGGGACTGGGAGCTAATCCAAACCTGGACTGAAACCTGGGATAAACTTGGAGCTACGGCCAAGCTATGTATTATATGCCCAACAAAGCAACATGTGTGTGATGCTTCTGTGACACTTAACACTTGTGCTGCTGCTGTGTAAGCCCAAAGAAGTCCCTCATGGACATAAATAGGCCCTGGGAATGCCAGTTTTGCAACATTGCCTTTGCTCTGAGCCCTTTCCTACAAGGTGCTGCAGACTCTTTGTGCTAGAGTGAATCCTGAAGGAACTCTGGCTCCTGTTTGGGTAACTCCTGAATTGGAGATGCTCAGACCCACAGTGCTCAACCTGCTCATCTCAGACTGATTTCAACCTGAATGAAGAGGCAGCACCACGGTTTTTCTTCCCACTGTTTTGCTTTTCTGGTGTTTTTCTTAACCTCACTGCCTTGAAATGGGACTCCAGTGGCAATGGGAAGCTGGGTAGGAGGGAGAAGAGTCTCCAGGGTACAAGGAAGCCATTGTTTAGTATGAATTAAGCTCCCCATTCAGTGGTGGAAGAAAGCAGCTCTGACTTGTGTGGTATTGTATGGCACATCTGCCAGCCTAAACTGGGAGATACTGCACCCTGTAAATGGACCAGAAGAGTCTTCCCTGCACACTGCTTTGGGGAGGAGAAAATGAGCTGTTAATAAGATTGAGAGGTTGTTATTGGATGGATGGATTGATTTTTGCAACAAAGCAAGGACTTGACATTTGGATTACCCTTCTGGCTTCCTTCACTGCTTTGGTGCGTGGCCTCCAGCAAGTTGTTTGCTTCTGTGTGCCCCAGGGTGCAGATCCAAGAGACAGGGTGAGCTGATCTGACAGCCCTCTTCCTCCAAAATGGGGCAATGCTCCTGCTCCCAGTGGGTTACTGTGCACCTGCTCTTTGGACCTCCTCAGGTTCTCTCTAATCTATCAAAAGGCTAATCCAGAAACAGAAAGAAAGAGAATACTGCTTTTTGAGCCCAAAAATGTATCTCAGGTGTCTGAGCCAGCACAAGGGAAGGGATGGAACTGCGTTGGGAAGAGTATGGCCCGAGGAAAGGAAAGCAAGATCACCCCTTCCAGGTGCTGGGCAGCAGATAGCTTGGCTCTGCTGCTCATGGAACCACATCCTTAATGCATCTACACTCTTCATGGTGTAACAGTCAGGAGTGGTTAATGCAGCTTCTGGCCCTTGCCCTTCTCAGACTGAATCTGTTGGGTTTTGGGCAGGCAGAGCTGAATGGCTGTGATTCTGGCTAATCTGTGATAAGTGTTGAGTGTAGACAGGAAAGTGAGCCCTGAACAGGTTCACTGGATTCAGCCTTTAATGGATCATGTTGGAACTGGAACCTATAGAGATGAGCATCTCTTCAGAAGCACTGAGCTCCTGCAGCTCCCATGGAAAATGTGGCTTTTACCAGCAAGTGAATGTGAAGATCTGCCTGCACTTGCTTCACTTGGATTTCCTGCTTCACTTGGGTTAATGGGCAAGGAAAAGAATGCTTTTGTACCAAGAAAGGGACCCTCAGACTTTGCAAATCAGCATCTTCTAGTGGCAAATACACAGTGAGCTGCTGGGCTGGAAGTGTACTCTGTCCAAACCTGCTTTCAGTAAATTAGCTTAAATCTAAAGGCTCCTGTACTTGGAGACATGTTTCCCACTGTTCATAGCCCTGTCGTCTCCTTCCCCTGAGCTGTGGTAGCTCATCATCCTGATCCATCATGACCTTTCGTCTTTTGCGGTAAGATCTCAGGGCAAGGCCCATGTCTTCATTCTTTTTATCTTTTGTTTTAGCCATTCTTTTTACCCATCACCTTTTTATCCGTGCAGCACAATGCAGCTGGCTTTCTGATTCCATCTGTGCGTGACAGGCTACTACTTACACATTTACTACAGGCTAAGATGCTGCAAGCTGTGCACAGCCACAAGTTCCTAACCTCTGATCCTTTGGCCCTTTCACCTCTCTCTCTTAAATAGCCCTCAGTTTCAGTTAGCCAACTGCAGGCTTGTCTCCCTTCCCCTCCCTCCTGCTCCCTTCCCCTGCTCCGTTTTGTTTTGAAGCCACGGTTGTGCTAATGCTGGCACAAACCTGTGCCAGTTCATTTCACAGGCTGAGGAGCTGTCAGTGTCCCAAGTACCCTGGCCCTGCCCAGCTTGGCTCACTTGGGTGTTTTCTCTCTCCAGAGAGTCTATTTTTGATGCTCTCTAAGCAGACAGAGCATGGGATATCTGCTCTTAATACACCCTGCAAGGTGCTCAGCACAGATCTTTCCCCTGTCCCTAGCAGCCTGTGTCCCCATCAAGGAGCATAATCTGATTTGGGGCTCTCTAATCCTGTCCTCATTGCTTGGTCATTCTGTCACACGCTATGACTTCAAGTGGCTCAGTCCTAAGTGGCAGGATTAGATGACCAGGCAGTAAATCCTGCTGCTGTCTGTGTGTTTTCAATTAGTTCCAACTAATTCAGCCATTCATGCTGCCCAAGGGCCGCCATTCCTCCTCCCAAAGGTCCCCGGGCACTGACTGCACCTTCTTTCCAGCTCGCCTCAAGGGAGGAGAAGCAGAAAAGGAGCCTGCTTTTGGGTCACAGCAGAAAGGGAGCAGCAGCAGCAGGTTGTTACAGCCCCAGGAGTGGTGCAGGTGCCAGGCAGTGGAGCCATCAGATGGAAGTGTGGGCATAAATGGGTTTTTCACTGGCACCAGTCAGGTTTCTAACGTGAGGAGCTGGGACACATAGTGGCTGCAGTGAGGAGAGGTACCGATGGCTTGGAGGCAGCACCAGCCTCATCCATATGTACCCCCTTGCTGTCACCACACTCCCAGCACTTTCTCATGCTCTGCCTGTCACCCTGAGCCTCCTGCCATCTGCTGCCTTGCCCTGTCCCCAGTGCCCTGCTCTTCTGTTCCCTGCTTGCCTTCCCTGCCCTGCCATTGCCTCCTCTGTCTCTACAACCCACCCATCACCAGTTTTACACTCTCTATCAGCTCTCTGACCCTCTCCTTCAAGCTCCAGCGTTTCCCAGATCCTCTTTGCATGTAGCCTTATTCCTCACCCTGAACAACCCAAATCTGGCAAACAGGCCAATGTCTTTCCCTGCCTCCAAGACAAATCCTGCTGCCAACCACTTCGAAGGAGAGCAGCAGAAAACATCCCACAGCCAACAGATCATCATAACCCAGAGCTTTGTGATAAGGTACCTCCCTGTGCCCTTCTTCTGCCCTCCTGTGTGTGGGGCAGGGACAGTTTGCACAGCAGCTGGTGCTGTGCCCCTGTACAGCCTGTCTTTAAGAAGGGGACAGGGGCATGGTGTGCTGCTGGCAGCGGGCACGGTGCCCTGGCAGGGGATGATAGATGAGGAGGGAGCAGGCACGCATGACTGGTGACGATGAAAAGCCTGTTTGTGCCTAATAAGTCTGAGAAACAGTCCAGGAGTCTTTCATGCGTGGGCAAATATGGCTTGTGGTGCTGCCAGAGCTAGCAGTCACTCTGGGTATGGGTTAAAAGGAGCAGGCATGCAGATGAGGGCGGGAGGGCTTCAGTAGCTAACTTAGGAGTGCAGCATCAGCAGTTCCCAAACCGCCTCAGCTCACAGCCCTGTCTGCTCTGTCACTTCCATTTCCACCTTTGGGCTCGCCATTCCCTGGGGACCCTGCTGCTTTAGGGTCCTTTAGCCCAAGAAATATACTGG